TGTTTTTGTTTTGTTTTTATGTCCAGAGGACCAGACTTAACTTTTTTAGACTAATATGGAGAACTTCTTCATGATATACTGTAGTTAGTAAGAGAGGTTGTCTTTCATTCAGAAGATTGATTAATTAATTTACAGTTCTGTCAATACTGAATGCTGTTGGGGCTGCACAGTGGCGCAGTTGGTGGAGCTGTTGCCTCTCAGCGAGAAGTCACACAGTCACCTCTGTCTCCCCATGTCTGTTTGTTATGATTCTTTCGGACAGGCTGTACTGAAATGTAAATTTGTCACGCTTCGGTGCAATGACAATAAAGCAGATTCTGATTCAGAAGGTCGAGAGCTCAAATCCCGGCCTGGGGTCTTTCTGGGTGGAGTTTGTACGATCTCTTCGTGCATGCGTGGGTTTTCTCCGGGTATTCTGGTTTCTTCCCACAAACCAAAAACATGCACATTAGGCTGATTGGTAACTAAATTGTCTCTAGATGTGAGTGAGAGTGTGAATGCAGTGTTTCCTCTACCATTATGCAGGCGGGGTGCACCACCCCGTCAACAGAACTGAGCACCCCGCCTATCAAACTGAACTTGCCCCCATACCCCCACTTGGCACTGACATACCACTAAGCTAGCGGCGCAAAATACAGGCTCTCTAGCTAAAAAGCCCAAGGCAGCACTCACATTGCCTCTTCCCTCATGTTGAACGCCCCCCGCCCCCGCTCAAAAACTGTTAGTACAAGCTGCGCTCAGACATGTCTCTGTCCCCCCATCAGCAAAAATCATGGATGAGATGAGCACCCCGCCATGGCAAGCTAACTAGGGGAAACACTGGAATGGTTGTTTGTAGGCCTGTCACGATAACAAATTTTGCTGGGCGATCAATTGTCTCAGAAATTATTGCAATAAACAATAACATTGTTTGAAATTTGACAATAAGTAATTATTGTCAAATTGAAAAAGAAATGTTGGTTAATTTGCTTTGAGTGTGGTACCTTTTTTCAACCACCAGATAGCAGTATAAGACTATTTGAATCGAAGGATGGATAGTGAGGGAGCGAGCAGCGTGTCTCTTTAAGAAAAATGGGAGAAAGGCCCTGATATGGGCTGTCTTTCGTTCCTGTTTTTGGTTCTCAAAATGGCGAACGCTTGGTGTGGTTTGAGCTCTTTAGCATAGCATTTGTCACACCAAGCTTTTAATAAAAATCAGTAAACAAGTTCTCAGCTTCTTTTTGCAGAAATAAACAACTTTTTAGACAAAGGCACAGGTTTCAACCGTGAATTTTAGAGCTTTGACAAGATTAAGTTTTTTTTCCCCGAGGTCGGCCTGTTAGCTTAGCTCGTAGCTTAGCTTCTCAGTTTAGCTGCTTCTAACGATCCAAAAACGTGATTTTGGATGGTTAAAACAGATTTTAAAAAGAAAAGAGAAAGGAAGGGGTCAGTGAAGAGCACCAGAGTTGAGATTTTTGTCATCCAGTAGAAAGAGAGAGACATGAAGAAACGATAAAGCTGATGAAAATGGGGTTGATAATTTTCGTTTATCATGCGATTAATTGATTTATCGCGACAGGCCTAGTTGTTTGTCTCATTTGTCTCCATGTGTCCTTGTGATGGACTTACGACCTGTCCAGGTGCCCCCTGCCTCTCACACATTGACTGCTGGATGGGGCACCATTGACCCCTGCAACCCAAAACTGAAGAAGTAGGTAAAGATAATGGATGGATGCCGTTGAAGAAGTTAATGCATTTTCCCGTGTCTGTGTTTGTTTGTTTGTAGAGTTAGCAAAATACTTCACGAAGCACTGGACAGATTTGAATGAAACTCTCATCTATGTTGATTTAACTCCTGGAGTCAACCCAGTCCATGATGGCTAATCCCAGTCATTTGTACAGATATTGAGATAAAACTTGGTGTGGTAGTAGCTGAGAGTGATCCTCAAGAAACACTCTAAGCATACTTAGCAGATCACACAAGAAGGAATGCTCTGACTTTATTTAGTAGAAGTCATCCTAAACAAGACACTAAAACCTGTGTAACTCTCTAACATGCTCACTGATTTGAAATGACTAGAAAAATATATAAATATACAGTATTTGTAGAGCTTAGGTATGTCACGACACAAGTGTTTAAGTTTCCAGCAGCATAGGTTATAAACCTGAAACATTACGTGCATTAAACACCAAGACACTGATCTGTTTTGTTAGTTTCATTAATGACACTCTGCAATCATGTAATTTATCTTTAAAGCCTGTGATTACTAAGCCTTTAGCAAACATCTATTTAATTATGTGACCAATAAAAATAATCAGCTGAAGCTGCTTTTCTTCCTTTAACAGCTTGTAGATTCAAATTTTTAATTACTACTGCCAGAATAAATTACAACGATAACAAATATTAGATGTAATAAATCTGTAGGGAAATGACAAATACACATCAACATGATTAAATATATTAGTATGTCACCTCTCTGCCCTAACATTGCTCATTTATGGTCTCAAACCTTCACACACAGCTGAGAAAGGGCAGTAAACGCCATGAAACAGCCTGAATGAACAGTGGGATGAAGTGGCAGCTAAAGAGGCTGGCACGCTCTCTGCACGTGGTCTGTTAGCAGTGACTCAGGTCATACTTTGGGCATTTGGAGCTGAGATAATTATGCATACCCATCCTTTGCATTTTAGGCATACTTTGGAAAACAGTTTACAAAAAAGAAAAACAGTGATGTTACAGTTAATTAAAACATACACACACAGGTATATATATATATATATATATATATAT